AGAATGGCAGGTTATACGTAACAGAGGTGTTAAAGAATGCAGCCTTCGTGACTTTAAATCGTTGCAGTCACATTCACTGACTAACACATTTTAACTGCAGCCAATCAATCACATGTTTAATACTACTACTTTCACTAATTAGTCTTTTTTGCAGTCTGAGGAGAATAATGAAAATCTAAAGCAATCTTTGCGTACACTTCTTCATAGAATTATAATACTAATTTGTTTAGAAAATAAATGAGTACACAAAAAGCTTAATTAGAACTCGAGTAGTATATAAATATTTAGAAAATTTCAATAAATTCCAGTAACTTCCTTCGAAATAAATTTATTATATGTACATAATCTGTACATAAGGAGTGCGTCACTAAAAATTAGTGCATGCATTTTCGAATATTACTTGTTTAATAGGAATGCAAAATATTTTTTTTTTTATCAGGTTAGCTTTGAAAACCTTATCAGACTTTATTACGTGACACGTATCAGTACCGGTTAATTTTCACAGCAAATATGAGCAGCGAACAAAAAACGCGTGAAGAAATTGTAAAAAATTTCGTAAATAACCCAAAATGGACTTACAAAAAGATTGCGAAAACACTAAAAATTTCCAGAAACACTGTATCCCGGATAATAAAACAGTTTAAGGTAGATGTTAGTGTTACTCGGAAAAAAGGAACGGGACGGAAGAAAGGATGTGGTGACCGTAACAAAGCGGAAAAAGTGGTGACCATGCTGAAGAGAAAACCAAATCTCTCGGGTAGAAATATTGCTCGGCTGGTGGGATGCTCAGAGCCATTTGTACGCAGAGCTAAAGCAGAAGCTGGTTTGAAGACGTACAAAGTGCAAAAAGTACCGGATCGCAACGCAACGAAGAACGATGTGGCTAAAATCCGAGCCAAAAAGCTGTACAAAGACTTCGTGCAGAAATATGAATGCTGCGTAATGGACGATGAAACGTACGTTCTTTCTGACTTTTCCCAACTTCCTGGTCAAGAGTTTTATGTTGCCGACGCTAGAGGAAATGTCCCGGAAAAATTTAGGACACAAAAAAGGACGAAGTTTCCCAAAAAATTTCTCGTTTGGCAGGCTATCTGCAGCTGTGGCATGAGGAGTAAAATTTTCGTTACTACAGGAACAATTAACACAGAAATTTACATTAAAGAGTGCTTACAGAAGAGACTTCAGCCATTTTTACATCACCATGGTGTGTCTACCTTCTTTTGGCCTGATCTCGCCTCATGTCACTACAGTAAAGGAGCTCTTGAGTGGTACGAGAAAAACGATGTAATATCTCCGTTAAATATATATACATATATTTAACTGATTTTTAAGTAAACCGCATATATATATAAATTTGACCGTCAAACTGATTTTTAAGTAAACCGCATACATATATAAATTTGACGGTCAAATTTGACGGCGGTTTACTTAAAAATCAGTTAAATATATATAAATATCTCCGTTAAATATATATATATTTTACTGATTTTTAAGTGAACCGCATATATATATATATAAATTTGACCGTCAAATACAGAAAAGCACTGAACACTGCAAACGCCTTGTAAGGAAAAATGAATTATTAGGAAACGCTAATACAGTGGCAGCACTGCAGCTATTTTGCAATCTCGCGTTTCAGTTCGGAAAGATTGTTAACTTTTTTTTAGTAACAAAATAAACTATTTTATGTTGAAAAAACTAGGTGTTTGTTTAATAATAAAGTTAAATTATACATTTTAATAGTGTTTTAAGAGTGGAAACCGGTGATTTAGTGAATTTTTGAAGAGGTAATTGCTCATAGAAAACAACGATATTTAACAAAAGTTTTTTGTTTATAACTTTTAAATGGTTAATAACATTAGCCCTCCCCCTCCGGATTGTTAATAGGGGGACCGAAACGCGTCGTTTGGAACCCCTCCCGACTTTTCCGGAACTTTTTTAATAGTTGCAGCCCTATACTAGAGAATTACCGAAACTGGTGATAATTTGGGATAATTATCTGCTATTTGGAAATATTATTAAACATTTTAATAACAATCCCTTTT